TGAAATGATGGAGGAAATTGAGCAATTTGTCTTTTAAATGTCGTTTTGAAATTGTACATCTGTATTTCCTCTAAGCATTGTCTGAGACTTGGTTCTCTCTATGTACATTGCAAATACAAAGTGTAACAAAGCTATATTTTAAAAAAACACCCAAATTTTATCATTTTCCATGTAGATGAGCACATGAAAGGAAACAATCCCTAGGGAAAGCTGTTGGGTTTGAACCTAAAGAGAATGTTTTGGTGGAAAACTCACATGGTTCTACACCCTGAGTAGGTGCTGAAGGTGGTGAGAAGTTGTTCTTTGTAATCACAACCTGATAGGATGAATGGGGGGAGAAGTTAAGTCCCTGGTCTATATTTAGCCCCTGTCCAATCTCTGGGATGATCCTGGTATCAGCAGTTCCTGACTAAGTGGATTTTTTTTGATCAGGAGCTCTTCATATCCACGATAGAGGAAGAGCACTTAAAAATATTCTCGGGGAGAGAAATGAAAATCTCCCCAGAGTTTTCTGTGAATTCATTCAAGCCAAAGAAAAAAACCAAAATATTTTAACCGATATTTTTTTTTCTGTGTTTCCCCTCAGCCACCCAACTGGAAACATGGGGTCGGAGAACCCGAGCCCACAGAACCCTGGCTGTAAGATCATGACCTTCCGTCCCACCCTGGAGGAATTCCGGGACTTTGGGAAGTACATTGCTTACATGGAATCCCAAGGAGCTCACCGGGCAGGGCTGGCCAAGGTGAGTTGTCCCAGCTCAGGGAGGTGAGAGGTGTCTGGAGGTGCTTTCCCGAGGTTCTGCTCCTTGTAAGGTGTCTAGGAGGTTCCATCACTTGGCAGCAATTTGCTTCATATGGCCAAGCATGTGGAGTTTTGGAATGTTGCACTTGGAATCTCCATTTCAGTTGCATGGAGAGGAAAGGCAGGGGAGTTACACGTCTCTTGGAGAATAGTGGAATGTCCTGAGCTGGAGGAATTTCAGTTGCATGGAGAGGAAAGGCAGAGGAGTTACACATCTCTTGGAGAACAATGGAATGTCCTGAGCTGGAGGGGACCCACAGGGATCATAGAATCCCAACTCTTGATGGGTGTCCCATAAGGACCTATTGGAGGATGTCCATCCCCAAGCACTTTGACCTCGTGCTCATAGAATCACAGAATGTCCTGAGCTGGAAGGGACCCAGAAGGAGTAAATCCAACTCCTGTCCCTGCACAGGCACCCCAACAATGCTCCCTGAGAGCACTGGGCAAACACTCCTGGAGCTCTGTCAGCCTTGGGGCTGTGCCCACTGCCCTGGGG